GTGGATCCTCGAAAAGTAGTTGGCCCAGTATGGTATAATCAGGATCGGCTTGAGGTCTGTTGGTAGGTCTAATGTAAATGTGTGCTCTACGTCAAGTCGGATGCGTTCATTCTCATCGTCAACTTTTCCATGTAATACCCTATTGTGCCATGTGGGTTGTGAGACGGCTTGATTATCCACACATGTGTTGTGGTCCCGTGTAGCTTGTGGTATTATATGAGCAGGATGGCTCTTGAGAAGCGGGTCATTTATTGAACCTTAGTCGTGCCTGGGTTTTATAGCGTATGACGCTATCCGTCTCCCCGGGGTTTTATTTTTGTACTTGGCATGCTTATGGTCGATATTCGGATATTTTGTAGGTATAAGCATTTTGGCTTGATGGGTATTTCCTTATTTATTGTTATGTATGGATCGGGTGGCACACCGCCATGGGTATGTTGTTTGGATTGGGTTTCATGCCACAATGGTATCATGTGTGGATCGGGTTGCATGCCGCAACAATGAGATGTTAAGTACGGTTCCCTATATCTATTCTTGTGTATTTTGTTTCTCATTCTCTGAGAAGGGTTCATAGTATTTGTCGACCGTTTTATACGTTACGCGGGCTGAGTAGTGTTTTTCGAGAGTTTGTTCCTCCTTATGTGTCATATTCAAGTTGTGGCTTGTCCGCGCATTGATGGCGTCATATGAGATCTTGATCAGTGTTTGAGGTAGCTTATTGATTGAGCAGCTTGTACTGGGTGAGACAGGGTTATTGGACCTAAGATCAATGCGATCAGAGTCATATAGGGTATATTAAAGAGAAATATTGTTATTCAATTCAGAATGAGGTAGTGGTTCTTGTCAGTAGGAGACACACCGTGATTTATAGATTCGGCAGGTGGTTATGAGTTTCTATACATCTTTTTTGTCGAGGAAATATTGCGAGAGTTGGGGACGGGGCTTACATATGTTATGAGGCATAATGCGGGCATTAGGTTAGTGAATTTGTAGTTGTTGTACTTGGAGGAGGTTACCATGGGCAAATAAGTTATTCGCGGTGCATTGTGTGGCATCAGCATGGGTGCTTGATCATGTGTTGGTTCAGCGTGTGGAGATTGATACGGTGTTCGTATGTTACAATCGGGTATCGTGGAGAATTTTGAATGTTGGAATTTGGTACTAGGGCTTGTTAGCCAAGGTTATAGGGAGGATCTTCAGCCAGGATCGAGCTAGTGTTCTCACGTGCAATGTGGTGGCACAGGTAGGTGCACGAGGTGTTAAACAGTAATTTCAGACAACTCTGGAGCAGTTCTTGGCACATTCGAGGATGAACGTATGTTTAAGTGGAGGAGAATGTAATGACCCGACCGGTCATTTTGAGTTCTAGCACGTCGTTTGATAGTTTGAGGCCTTGTGTAGCTTCATTTCAAATATTATGACTTGTACGTGTGGTCGGAATTAAATTTCGAAAAGTTCAGAGTTGATTTGAAAAGAAAATTCTAAATATAGAAGCTTTAAGTTGGAAGAATGGACTAAGGTTTAAATTTTGAGTAAACGACCTCAGAATCGGGATTTGAAGGTTCCAATAGGTTCATTTGATGATTTCGGACTTTGGCGTATGTTCGGGTTGAGTATCGGGTCACCCTGGAGCATTTCAGCGCTTATTGTGGAAAATTGGCATTTTAAAGGTTTTAGAATTTCCTAAGTTTGGTTTGAGGTAGACTTTGAAGTTATCGATGTCTATTTGGGATTTTGAGCCTTGCAATAAGTTCGTGTCATGATTTGAGACTTGTATGTAAAGTTTGGCGTCATTCCAGAATGTTTAATTATGAATCGTACGCGTTCGTCGTAGTTTGAATGTTTTAAAGTTTAAGAAAATATTTCAATCATCGATTTGTAATTTTGATATTGTTTGGTGTGATTTGAAGCCTTGAGCAGGTTCGTGTTATGTTTTGGGATGCGTTGGTATGTTTGGATGGGGTCCCGTGGGTCTCGGGCTTGAAACTGATTGAAATCAGATCGAAATTTAAAATTGAGGAAATGCTGGTTTTGGCCTACTGTTGTTGTGACCGCATCTGCGAAAATTTGGGCGCAGGTGTGGAACCGCTGAAGCGGATAGCTCAACGCAGAATTTGGGCGGCTACTATTCCGCATGTGCGAAAATATCGTTGGGCAGAATTGTTTTAAGAACGGGATTTGGCTCTCTTTCTTTCATTTTTCACTTGGGTTGGCCGAATTTGGGGAGCTATTTTGAGGGGATTTTCATCAAGCAACACGAGGTAAGTGATTCCCACCTATTACGAGTTAAATACTTGGATTACATATGGATTTTAACATGGGAATTTATGAAAATTAGTAGAAATTATGGGATTTTGGTAGAAACCCAAGAATTTGATATTTTTAGATTTTGACCACGAAATTGGACATGGAATTAGAAATAATTATATAATTGAGTTTGTGGTGTTATGGGTAATGTTAATCTTCAAGAAGTTTCGGAATCCGGGCACGTGGGCCCGAGGGTTTGACTTTATTGACTTTTCGAGTGGAGTTGGAACTTGTTATAAATTGATTTATTACGAGTGTTGGAGTATATTTTTATTGGTTTGCACATTGTTTTACTAGTTTTGGATCGTTTGGCTTTGAATTGAAGAGTTAGAGAGGCGTTGGAGCCGGTTGTGAAACTTCGGAGCGAGGTAAGTCTCCTGTCTAACTTTGTGAGGGGAAAACTACCCCATAGGTGATGTAATTATTATGTGTTATTAGTTGTGGGTGCTACGTACGCACGAGGTGATGAGAGTCCGTAGGTAATTAAAGCATGTTTATGTCCGGGTAGACTAAGGACTTCGCCATGTAATATTTGAAATATTTGAACTCATCTTGTTGGTTTAATTAACTGAAATTATAATTGAACTTGATTTAGAAGTATAAACGTATATATTAGGCCGAGCCTTACTACCTTGAGTTGTTGGCAAGTTATTTGAGAAACGGTAAAGGTTATACTCACCTTGTGTTCATATACTACATGGTAAGCCCGTGTATCGTAATTCAATAATTCCTTTCCTTTATTGTGGAGTGGATCGAACGCTTCGGCGGGATTATGTACCATACTCTCATGGGAGCGGGTCGTTCGCCTCGGCAGTATAATAGATGGGATCGGGCCGATCGCCTTGGCAGTACCATATTCCTTCTGAGATCTGGTTGGATGACCTCGGCATAATCGTGCGTTATATCGCTAGCAGTCCGAATATTCGTGAGATTTTCCTTCCACTGATGCCTTGCATTTTATATGAAAATTTTTATTCGTTTGTTATTGGCACTTGATATTTCTGACCTGTCGAGATAGAATACGAGATTGAGAAATTGATATTGTTTAAAGAAATTTTGGAAGATTGTGTAAGTTACAGATTTACCTCACTACTATTGTTGTACTGTCATCTGTTTATGATTTACCATATTGATTTATTGGACCACTAGTAAGTGTCAATGTTGACCCCTCATCACTACTTCTCTGGGGCTAGGCTAGATACCTACTGGGTACGCATTGATTTACGCACTCATATTGGACTTCTGCACTAAATGTACAGGATCTGACAGGTTCATTTGATGATCATCTTGGCGCGTAGGTGCATCTGTTGAGGAGACTTCTTATGAGTTGCATTCCAGGCTATGCATCGCAGTCCACAAAGTCTCTATCATACTGTTTATTTTATCCTGCCTTATTTACATTCTATACAAATGTTATATTATTATTGTACTCCTTAGTAAATGCTAATTCACTTGTGACGCCGGATTTTGGGGGTACCTACTAGGTGTTCATTTTTGTAGTTCGCGTAATTATTATCATTTCACCTTGTAATTTAATTTATACCTTATACGGAAATTAGAAAATAAAATCACGCGTTTTCTACGAGTACTTGATTTTACACTACTTATTCAATGGGATTCATGATTTCGAAAATAATAAAAAGAGTAACTAAGTTGATTAATCACCGTTGACTTCCCTGATGGCGGCGTTTAGAGCCATCACAATCTATAATGGATCTTGGGTCGTGACACTCTCTCTCCTCGACCACTTTGTCTTCTGTCTAATGGTAAATTTGTCGGCGAGCACCTCCAGCGTCGGCGCCGACGTCCAACAGAAGACCAGGTAAGCCTCTCTCTCTCTCTCTCTCTCTCTCTCTCTATTCTTACTCTCTACTCTCTCTCACGGACCTTTTCTTCTTCTCTCCCTTTCTTCTCCCCCTCCCAAACCCTAACAGATGCAAATCCGGCAGCTACCCCCTCTCTATTCTCTGTCGATTCTCTCTCCCCGCCCTTCTCTTCTCCTTCACCTTTTCTTTTCCCCCTCCCACATCCTAGCACCAGCGAATCCAGCGACTTTGTCGCACCGGGACCCCTCTATTTTTCTTCTTTTTCTTCTTCTACACTGTCTTTTCGATTTTAGCCATCACTCTTGCATTTTCCTGGAGCGTCTATTTTCTGTGATTCCATGCTGTCATTATTTCTCGGCCAGTTATTTGTTCTCTCCGACGACAGCAAGCCGGTTCGGAGACGCCCATCTATTTTCTTGGTCTCGGGGTATTTTGTGTGCTTTTCAAGTAGTATTCGGTGCCTTTTAGTGACGTGCAGGAGGCACACACGCAAATGTAGCGGAGTAGGCTGGCGAGTATTCAGGTCCCGCAGCCTCGGGGTATATCACATTGTAATTCTAGGTTCTACTAGTTGGAGTTGGTACCTCCCGTCTCCTGTTTCTCTTTCTCGTGTTAGTTAAATTGTTGTCGTAGTTGTTCATACTAGTTTAGTCATTCTAGTAGACTACCTGTAGTTACAACTTGTTTTCTTCAAGTTCGGTCCGTTGTTTATTTTGTGTTAACGTTTTCCCCTAGTCTACCGTAGGTAGAGTAGTTGTGGTCTGTAATGGTAGCATAATGTTGTGTCCTCGGGGAGGGAGAGTCGTGGGGTGGGGGTAGGGTAGGGGGTAAGGGAATGGGGCAGGGCCCAAAGGGGGCAAGGGGAACATGGGAGCCTATAGGTTGAGACTTGGATTGTGGAATATAGGAATGTTAACGGGTAAGCCCATAGAGTTGGCGAAGATTCTACAAAAGAGGAAGGTGAGTATAGCTAGTGTGCAGGATACTAGGTGGGTAGGGTCGAGAGAGAGGTATGTAGACGGTTTTAAACTATAGTACTCGGGAGTCGGGAAGGATAAGAACGAAGTGGGTATTTTGGTGGATAAGGAACTGAGAGAGTCAGTGGTAGAGGTTAGGCGGGTGATTGATAGATTAATGTCTATTAAGCTAGTAGTTGGAGGGATCACCCTGATTGTCATTAACGCTTACGCGCCACAAACAGGCTTGGATATGAGGTTAAGAGGCACTTTTGGGAGGGGTTGGATGAGGTGGTGCATGGTATTCCGCCTATAGAGAAATTATTTATAGGAGGAAATTTCATTGGTCATATTGTGTCGTCTGTTGGTGGGTATGGAAAGATGCATGGGGGCTTCGGCTTTGGGAATAGGAACAGAGGAGGTATTTTACTGTTGGCATTCGCTAGAGCTTTTCAGTTGGTGATTGTGAACTCTAGTTTTTTGAAGCGGGAAGAGCATTTGGTTACTTTCAGAAGTATGGTGGCTAAGACCCAGATTGATTTTCTTCTCCTCAAGAGGAACGATAAGGGATGGTGCGAGGATTGCAAGATTATTCTGAGTGAGACCCTCGTGTCACAACCATAGGCTATTGGTGATTGACGTCGGTATCATGATAACAAGGAAGATGAGATTTGTTGAGGGTCAACCGAGGGTCAAGTGGGGAGCCTTGATGAAGGTTAAAGCTCAGAACCTGGAGGGGAGGTTGCTGGCTTTGAGAGCCTGGAGGAGTAGTGGGGAAGCAAGCGAGATATGGACGTCGACGGTGGATTGTATAAGAGAGACGACAAGAGAGGTATTAGGGGTCTCAAAGGGTTACCCAAGTAGGCACCGAGGTGACTAGTGGTGGAATGACGTGGTCCAAAGTAAAGTAAAATCAAAGAAAGCAGCGTACCTTAAGTTAATGGAGAGAACAGATGATGATGAGAGGAGATCGAACAGAGGAAGACATAAGAAAGCTAGGACGGAGGCAAAGTTAGCGGTCATTGAGGATAAGACTACTGCGTTTGGTCGTTTGTACGAGGATCTGGGGGCCAGAGGAGGGGACAAGAAGTTATTTCGGTTGGCCAAAGTGAGAGAGAGGAAGGCTCGTGACCTGGACCAAGTAAGGTGCATCAAAGACGAGAAAGGCATAATACTAACGGAAAATGCCCAGATTAAGCGGAGATGGCATGCTTACATTCATAAACTTCTGAATAAGGAGGGAGACAAAGACATTATGATAGGGGAATTGGGGCACTCCGAGAGTCACCGAGACTTTAGGTACTGTAGGCGTATTAAGGTTGAGGAGGTCGTTGGTGCTATGCGCAGGATGAGTAGGGGCAGAGCTACCGGGCCAGACAAGATTCTGGTAGAATTATAGATGTATGTGGGTAGATCAGGCTTAGAATGGCTGACTTCGTTGTTTAATGTTATTTTCAGGACGAAGAGGATGCGAGATGAATGGAGGTGGATCACGATAATACCGTTGTATAATAACAAAGGTGATATCCAGTGCTGTAACAACTATAGGTGTATCAAGTTACTAAGTCATACTATGAAAGTTTTAGATATGGTGGTGGAAGGAAGGTTGAGGAGGGTGATGTCTATATCTGACAACCAGTTCGGGTTCATATCGGGTCGTTCGACTACGGAAGCTATCCACCTTATCAGGAGGTTGATAGAACAGTACAATGATAGGAAAAAGGACTTGCACATAGTATTTACTGACCTTGAGAAAGCGTATGACAAGGTTCCTAGGGAGGTGCTTTGGAGATGCTTGGAGGTAAAAGTTATGCCGGTAGCTTAAATTAGGATACTAAAGGACAAGTATCATGAAGCTAAGACTCGAGTTAGGACTATGAGTGGTGACTCAAAGCATTTTTCGGTTGTTTTAGGGTTGCACCAAGGATCTGCGCTCAACCTATTTTTATTTGCCCTGGCGATGGATGCACTCACACATAATATTTGAAGGGAGGTGCCATGATGTATGTTGTTCGTTGATGATATAGTTCTGATTGATGAGACGCGAGGCGGCATTAACGAGAGGCTAGAGGTTTGGAGACATTCCCTTGAGTCTAAAGATTTCAAGTTGAGTAGGACTAAGACAGAATATCTAGTGTGCAAGTTCAACGACGTGACGGGGGAAGCAGATTTGGATGTAAGGCCGGACTCACAAGTCATCTCCAAGAGAGGAAGTTTCAAGTACCTTGAGTCAATTATCCAGGGGGTGGGGAGGGAGATAGACGAGGATGTCACACATCGTATAGTGGTAGGGTGAATGAAATGGAGGTCATCGTCTGGAGTCCTGTGTGACAAAAATATGGTACCAAAACTTAAGGGCAAGTTATATAGAGCGGTGGTTAGACATATCATGTTATATGGGGCTGAGTGTTGGCTAGTCAAGAATTTTCATATCCAGAAGATGAAAGTAACAGAGATGAATATGTTGAGATGGATGTGTGGACACACTAGGCTGGATAAGATTAGAAATGAAGATATTCGGGAGAAGGTGGGTATGGATCTCATAGACGACAAGATGCGGGAAGCGAGGCTTAGATGGTTCGGGCACGTGCGGAGGAGAAGCCAAGATGCCCCAGGTAGGAGGTGTGAGCGGTTGACTTTGACAGGTATGAGAAGAAGTAGAGGGAGGCCTAAGAAGTATTGGGGTGAGGTGATCAAGAAGGACATGGCGCGACTTCAGATTTTCGAGGACATGACTCTTGATAGGAAGGTGTGAGCATTAGAGTTGCAGGTTAGGAAGGAGTCGAGCGTTTTTCTTCCTTCGTCTCGGGGGGGGGGGGGGGTAGTCTGTTAGGGTGTTGTCTTGGATTATTTGTGGTGTATGTTTGTGTCCACCCTACTTTTTTTGTTTTTTTCATAGTACTATGGCATTATTACTGGTTATAGTTATTAGTTTTCCATCTTTTTATTGTTTCCTACGATGCTTATATTATATTTCTGATTTTTGTTATTGTCATATATTCTATTGTCTATTTTTGTCTTCTTGAGTTGATGGTCTCTCGGAAACATCATCTCTATCTCTCCGGGGTAGGAGTAAGGTTTGCATATATTCTACCCTCCACAAACCCTACTTGTAAAATTTTACTAGGTTATTATTATTAACAAAACTCATAATATGTTTCGGATCACAAATTTTAAAAATATACCTTTTTAAAAAAATTTATGTTCAGTCAAATACGTTCACATACAATGAAAGTGAAGGCATACTAGTACTAGAGTTAATGGATGGTCAGTTTTAACGGACAAGGGTAGTACTATGATTTGATATACATAGGCATAGACTTTTCCTAGTAATAAACAATTTTACTAGCTTTTCCTTTTTGGTAATTATGATACCTATCCTCAAAAATATAATTTCAAAAGTCAACCAAACACTACTTCACTTAATTATTATTTTCTGGGTTACTCTATATTCAACTTTATAACTTTTGGGTTTGTGGAGCTGGAGGCAAAAATTCATGCATCATAGTTATGTAGGGACAAAATTATTAATTGTGATTATGGGGCTCGTTAACCTGAAATTATGGTATCTAGATTTAGGAGTTAGATTATAATTAGGTCCTACAATGAAGCTTATAAGAGAATATTTTTAAGGTTATCTTCCTGTAATGGGGCTCAAGAAGTTGGTCTGACTTATAAAGGAAATGTTAGTAATAAAGTTATGCTATTAAAATTTGTGATGGAATAAATGAGATCCTTTCACTTTTAATCAAAAGTTTCGAATTCGAACCTGGTGAACGAAGAGAAACTAAATCATAGTAGGAATTGCTTTTCACTTTCATGGCAAGGCATAGTCAAATTACTAGATTCGATCAAACCCATAACTCATACTATACATCTACCCATGCCTATTGAGCACGAATATGAATTAATGAGGCACAATGAATACCTGATAGGCTGATACTAAATTATTATTATTATTATTATTATTATTAAAAAGTGACCCCCTTTCATTTTAATGGAAATGATGCACACTCAAAATGAAGTATGAAACTTAAGACTACTAAATAGTGGTTGAGACTTTGCTAAAAGTGGCTAATTAACCACAAAACTTTTAGACTTGCTCTAGGCTTTACTACAAGATGGTTTTGGGGAACAACGGTCTATGAACAAAATATTTTGTATTCACGGGTTTTTATAGTAGCTGGCAAAGAATTTCCTTTCTTTTTTTAAAAATTATTAAAAGCGGGGGGAGATGACCTATTTAATGGGCCACTAATGGTATTGAATTCGAATCTGCACATTTTTAGTGGGATATATATTATATGGTGATATCTTGACCATCGAAAGAACAACTTTGGATTTGCTTTTTTCCTCCTTTTCCTTCCATTAAGGAAAGTTCTTTCTTTTTCGTTTGCTTTTTGGGAATCCACCTATCCGAATTCGCGCCACATAAGATCATACGTGCTTGACTAACTCGACTAATATCCGCATATGATCCATTGAAGGTGAAGAGTTGTCAAAGAAATCTCAAACACGAGACATATGATTAAGTGCGCGTATGAATTTCATCCATCCCACATACACTCTTTCTTGATACTAATTTAACTTACACTAACTATCTTTCAAAGAATCTGATAATTGATGGTACACTATAATCTCGTATTTTAGTCGCTTATTGCACTCTAATTCACTGCACTTAACTTATGTTGAGCTTTAATTAGACGTATTTTGCACTTATTGTGTGTTTTATGCCCTGCAGGAGTGACTCCGAGCTATGTAGATGTTGTAGCATGAATTCATACTATTTTGAAGTTTTGAAATCTGAATAAAAGCCTAAGGGTTAAGTCGGGATCGAGTTCGGGGATCAACAGATGATATTGGAACGAAACAAAAAATCGAGTAGGCATATTGCGCAGTGTCCAGTAAAATACATATAACATTTCGCTCGGAACTTCGTTTGGGCTCCACAATATATCATTGGAAAGCTATTTAATAGGGCTACAACTTTCATGTTTTAAACTTTCCCAAATTCCCAACTTATACAACCCAGGTGCGCGACCAAGTGTGCGATCACGCACTTGGGGCAGAATGGTGTGCATAGTGCGCGATCAGGTGCGCGGTCGCGCATGTCCTATCCGGAAAGAGTCCTATTTTGCTAAGAAAAGGGTTTTTTCATCCGTTTTCATTTTGGAGCTGGATTTAATACCCCAAAACACTATTTTTGACACACTTTTGACATACCAAGACCTAAGAAAGCTAAGGAGAAGAGGGAGAAGCTAGAGCACAAGAATTTCATCCTTCCTTCCTCACTCAAGATTCGTGTTTGGATTGTATTTATATTTTTCTATACTTTTATTTCATTTGTGAAGAACTTCTCCATGTCTATGGAGTAGAACCTTTTGGGTTTTGATAGATTTGGTGTATTGATAGTTGTTAGTGGATTATAACTCTATGTTTATGTATTTGAATCGTTTTTGGAAGATTTAATTGTTGCATCTATGGTCACTTGTTCTTGTAACCGAAAGAGGCATAACTTGTGATATATTTGCACTATATTATTGGTTGAGTTCATATATTCTTCTAAGTAATTGAAAGAGGCTAGTTGAATCATTGATTAAACCTAGTTACGAGAATAATCGAAT